ACCAATAAAAAACTAATACATCATATTTATAATTAAAACAAAAATTAATTTTATCACTTTTAAAATAAAAAATTATTATTATTATTTTCATAATTATCATTAATTAATAATTATTTCTTATTTTGTACGTAAAGACTAAAGAGTACAGCATATCTAAATCTTAAAATAAAAAAACTCGATTCTGCGAATTTGAACCATGGTCTCCGGCTCATTGTATCATAACATGTACTTCTCTCCCAACGCTTCTGATTGCATCATTCTCGGTCAGATCAGAAGATTCAATCAATCGGACGGCCAACGATACTCTACGTCCTTACCGTTCCGAATCTTAAAAATTTTTAGATCATAGATAGGTAACAGACAAAAGTACACGTGGCGTTCCAGCAACTGGTTTGCTGCTGACAAAACCACAAAAGCCTCACCTGCCCGCAGATTAAGGGATTTAAAGAGCCACGCGTCAATTCTGTTGTGTCAAAATTCCACCACGTGCGGACCCCACTTTCTTGATCCCCTCATTTATAACCGTCGATTTGATCCATACGAGACACGTTCGTTAAAGTGTGTAAATGACACTAGTGAGAGAAAGACGGCACCACCACGCTCTCCGGCTATCCCTCCCCCCACCAATTCCGGCACCTGACTTCCGGCATCGGAGCCAAGTCGGTCCGACGTCACCCGACTTCGAAAGCCTCGCAGACCTCGAGAAGCTCACAGTTCTCGGCCATGGCAATGGTGGCACTGTCTACAAAGTGCGCCACAGGAAGAGCGCGTCCGTTTACGCTCTCAAAGTTCTTCGTTTTGATGAGGATGCCACTGTCATCCGCCATCAGGCGGCGTGCGAGGCGGAGATCCTTAAACGCGTTGACTCGCCATTTATCGTCAAATGCCTCGCCGTGTTCGAGACCATTGGAGGGGAGCTTTGCTTCCTAATGGAGCACATGGAGAGAGGATCCTTGCATGATGCTTTGTGCTTGAGAGAGATTTTGCAGGAGGATATCATCTCCGGCGTGGCGGAGAGAGTGCTCCGGGGGTTGCATTATCTTCACGGCTTGCAAATAGTGCACGGCGACATTAAACCGTCGAATCTGTTAATCGACGGCAATGGTGACGTAAAGATTGCGGACTTCGGGGTGAGCAAGATTGTGGTTGGCACGTGCAACGCGGGCGACACATGCATGGGGACGTGCGCTTACATGAGTCCGGAGCGGATTGATCCGGAGAGGTGGGATGGGGATAACGCCGATGGGTTCGCCGGCGATGTTTGGTCCCTTGGCGTTGTGGTGTTGGAATGTTTTGTGGGTCACTATCCGTTGATAGGTATAGGGGAGAAACCAGATTGGGCAGCGTTGATGTGCGCCATATGCTTTGGGGAGAGGTTCGAGATGCCTGAGACTGCTTCACCGGAGCTTAGGAGCTTCGCGAGAAGGTGTTTGGAGAGGGATTGGAGAAAGAGAGGGACGGTGGTTGAGCTTCTAGATCATCCCTTTATCTCGAATAGAAAATGTGGGGATCTAATTAGAACAGTTGAATAACCTTTTTTTGGTTTAGAATCTTGCTTTTGCCATCCAAAAAGTTCCAATCTTGGTACTTTTTTCCCTCGTAAATTATGTTTTGGCTCATGTTTTAGAAGCTATATGGGTTAAGCTATCTATGCAATGGAAATTCATTGTTGGATATCGGAAAAGTTTGGCCCTTAATTTTGCACATACAGAATTCAGCAATGATATTGTTGTCCGAGGAGAAAGGGAGGATAGAGAGGAAGAGCAGAGTGCCTGTGTAAATGCTTTTGTTCAAAAACAATGATAGAAGCGTAAATCGTCAATACAATTTCACTCACTTTGTATAGCACAGGGCCACGGGCTTGATGCAATGCATGCTATTTTACAGAAGTAATGCTTTTTAGACGGAGGTAAAAAGAATAAAAAGAACGGAAGGAACTGCTAAATGCCATGCAGCATCAAGATATTGGATGCATACCTATTCATTGGGTGAAAAAAGCAAGCATAATATTCTGGTGCCTTTCTGAACTCACACTTACAGACATACAATACAATGGTCTACAAACAATGATGTTAAGCAATCCAGAGATATGATGGATTTGTTGTTGGCGAAGAATCTGTCTATTTTCTTGTCTGGGCTCCAGTCCATGGAAAATCATTTTCTAGGGGCCATGCTCCAATTCTTTGTGATATCCAACTGCTTGTGGTGAAGTCCACCTGGATAATCATATGATTGACATCAAACAACCAACTTTCTGTTAAGATAGGTAAGTAATTACGATTTCATTTGAATTTCCAGATGAACCTTGTAAATAATAGTAGGATTGGATTGGTTAAGAACGTGAAGCTATGGTGGTCAGGTTCACAACCTCCTACGCTACCATTACCATTCTCCCTATTCATGTTGGTAAGGTATAAGCAAAAACAACCCCGATGGGCCAACGGGACCCTGATGCTGAAATATGAGTTTACTAGAGCATGAAATGCAAGGCACTTCTCACTTAAGAAACTAAGCCGTTTCGGGACTTTCTAACCCATCTCAAAGCAGCTTCAACCTTCATCAAAACAATTTTAAGCAACAATATGATTCTCAATGGAAAACTTTGTTGCTCAAAGATTTCAAGATGTAACTTGAGCTTCTTAGAACAGAATCTCACTTTCGGGCAGTAATTTCCACATGTTACATAAAGAGAAACATTTCCTTCATGAGAAATTGTTTCCCTTGTACAGCAAAAGGAAGTTGCAGTAGTTGTGATCATAGTAATCTCTATACCATAGTCATAGAATGCAATTTATCAAAAGTTCCAACCTTTGAAACAGTGCCAACTTCACCCATGATATAAACATAAAAAATGCTTTTAATTATTTTCCACAACCAAAAGGCAAATGATGACTAGACTCCAAGAGACACTCCCAAAGTAATCAACGACACCAATGACTATAAGAAGACAGAAAAGTTCTACGAATGCTTAATTTCCAAACACTAAACAGCAGGCAAATAATCAAAAATGAAACCCGGAAATCATTTTCTAGCTAAAAAAATGCAACCAAGTTGGCATAAGATATACAGTTACAACAACACCAATGGAAGAAGTGATTTAGAAAAATAAGAAGACAAGCGATGAGTTAAGAACTAACCTGTTCTAGAAACCAGGTGGATGCGGGAACGAGGTCCTTCAAACATCCAGTTATCTTCATCCAATGACTTAACCTCCTTGTTAAGTGCCGCCATCAGATCAGATTTTAGAACTGCAAGAGAGAAGCAATCAGCAAAAGAAAAAGAAAACAAACCAATTTCAATGCATAACCTGAAGAACTAATAACAAATTTTCAACAAATGTAAGAAAAGAGAAGAACTTTGATTTGTAATTTTAAATTCTTAAAATCCAGACAGAAAATCTCAGTCACCTAAAGAAAATTAAAGAACAAAAATACAGAATTAATGCAGACCGCCATAGCTGAAGAATTCCACAAAAAATAGCCAAGACCCACAAATTTGTAATCTGTAAACCTATAAATAACGCAGAAATACAAAGACCCAGGGCAAAATGACACGAGAAAGGGGTAGAAAAGAAAAAGGTGAAGAACGAACCACGCATGGCCTCTTCCTTTCCGTCTTGGATGGAGATGAGATCGGAGTGGGGGTTCAAATCGTCTAGAACTACACTGCTGCTACTGCTTCCTCCTCCTGCGATTGCCGTGGTTGATATCGACGAATTAGCCGCCGATGAACTATTCATTTTGTCCGAAAGGAAGAAGGGAGATTTCGCCTTTTCCCGGTTTCACACCCACAATCACAGGGGGAGGAAGATGAGACTTGAAAATTGAAAGCAAAAAGTGAGAAAAGCCAAAAAGGGAGGGGTAAAATAGCAAACTTTTTCTGGGCTAGGCCTTTTTTAAGTCTCGGCCCAATTCACAGGGCTTGAAAAGTAGCTTGTGTTTCTTCTCTTCTTCTCCCTCAGCAAACCCTCTTCACTTCCTTGGATTCTGCAGGTCAGCTTTCCTTCTTTCTCTTATGCAATGCTTGATTATATATTGGTTTGGTATTTATAGATTTTTCTCTTAATGGGTGTTTTTATCTATGAGAGATCTAAAGAAAGATGTTAGCATTTTTGGGTTATTACCCAGATTGGAATATTTCATTCTTTGCAGAATTCTGATGTAATAAATTAGTTTTTGTTTCCTATTGTATTGAATCTTTTTTTTTTATAAACCTTTGATCATTTTGAGAGAAAAATTAGTAATTAGAACTTGAAGATGTATCTTTGGATGAATTAATGAATTGAAAGAGAAGGAATTTGCATTTAGCTTAATGGCATTCCCTTAGAGCTTCTTTTTGTCTTCTTCAGAAATCCGGTTAATCTGTCTCTTCGAGTTCTTTTAAATTCTAATTGAGAAGATGTGAGTGACTATAAAATTAAAAAAAAAAATGAAAAATGAAAAAAGAAAAAAAAAATCATCTTGGCCCTGACCTGAAGTAACAACAGGATATATGTCATCCAGATTGGAAGAAGAAGATTTTCACCTTGTTTTTGCATCAATATTTGAAAATGCTCTAGATTATTCAGGTTTTATACCTTTTTATTGCTGTAGGTGAACTACTCTTTGTTCAAAAGAGTAGGGGGTGGAGGGCTAAAATTTAGCTGCCGTAGTTTTTTTTATGTTATCAAATATTGGTTTAGTTAAGCTTAGAGGCTGAACCATCTATAGAAATGTTAAAAAGGAGTTGCAGAATGCTTGAGTCTCTAACACTTTGCCAAATATATAGGAGAATAAGTCCTGCTTTCACTCAAAGAAAAGGATTTTATTAAATGTACAATATCTCTTGCTACAGTTTCTTCAATTATTCCTCATCCATTTTCTTCCCTTGTTTCAGTTACTCTATGGAAACCCAACTTTTTCAATTTCTCTTCTATCAGAAACTGGTAATCCTCTTGATATTCTTCTTTGCTGGCACTATCTCCGGCATGCACATTTCTGCATCTTCGGATGAGGTCAGTGGGCAGTAATGCTTGTTAGGTTGTTCTGGATTTTTCAAAAATTCTTAGATTATCTTTAGTTTGTGGGGTTTGTCTTGTGTTTATTACCCTTTTATATTTCTGTTGCTTGTTATTTGACTCTACTAAGAAAGGGCGATTGCCATATCTTTTACTTCCAACTATAGTTCAGACTTCTTTGGCACTAATTCATAGCATTAAGAAGAAAGGAGTGAAAGTATTAAAACAGTATCTTACAGAGAAATTTAGTGTCCTGACTTGTATCCTTTATTTTCAGTTAGGAAGGAGTGGATCTTCTGATTCCAAGAATCCAGATCTCAGCACTTTGTATGTGCATGGAAAATACATTATGGAATCTTATCTAGACAAGTTTGAGCTGCAAGATTCAAATTTTGAAGATTTTGTGGCGCATGAACTCCCTTCTGGTTTGTGCGAGTTGCTTCCAGATAATCAAAATCTTGTTCTGGGGCTATCAGTCCTACAACGGACTCTGATTGGTGAAGGTTCTCATCGCCATCTGTCTTCATCTATCAGATTGCAAGTTAAGCCAGAGTCCATACTGCAGCTTCCTACTCACTTTTGTGAAGTTATAATCATAGAGAGACTGCCCTCTGGAGTATTTGCTGACCCCTTTGAGCTACAACATCTTCATCAACGGAGAGGTGTGCAATGATTCATTTTTCTTATGATAAACTATCCATTCCATTGCAGTCAGCCTTACTACCTATCTTCTGTTCCTCAAGGCTAATAGGTGCATATCAAATTTCAGTCTTTACAGATGTAGCTGTTTTTGGAGATACCAATTTGGAATTGCCCTCATTCCGTTCGAATCGTTCCATTGTTGAGGTCCACATGGATGTTGGTTCCAACATTCTGTCAGGACAGCAGGATGGATCGGAGATCAACATTCTGCTTCCATTACATGCAAGATATCAAGTAAGTTAGAAGAATGTTTTTCCTTTGATTATTGCTTTGGTTGCTATTCATAAGATAACTATTAACAGGACATGTACTTCTCTTTTTCTGTCATTTTGAGACTACCAATTACATGCGAATGCATGTGTTGCTGTGAAAATGTAGTTATTTCTGTCTTCTGCCTTTGGTTAATTGATATGTCACTAAGTTGTTAACATGGTGGGAGCTTGAAAAATATATCCAAGCCTTATTAGTGTGTTTTAGTGTAGGATGCTAAACAACTAATATTTGCATCCTCTTCCCACAGATATAGAAACTGTCATTTCTGCTTTTACCTTTCATTGCTTGTATGCTATATGTTTAACATCTTTCTCAACAAAGCTTGCTCGATGCATGTGATGAGAATTCTGCAAATGTTTAAGACAGTCATTTACAAAATGTATCAGGAATAAGTCATTTGCACCATGCAGAGATTTTCTTCTCAATAGGAAGCCTTTCTAGTTAACATCTCATCTACAACTGAATAACGTAGAGACTGCATTGTAATCCTCTCTGAAATTATTTTGCAGCCGCTGGATGAAGGTGGCTATTCAGTGGTTGAAATTGGTGAACCTGATTTATTCATGAGCTGCAGTGCAGAGGGAAAACAACATAAACAAAGCTGTTTATTCAGGCTACCCAATGATGATGCAAAATCTCGAACTGGTGCTGTTTCGTGGAGAATACCTTCTGGAATACCAGCACACGCCGGATTTGTGTCGACTTTTACATATATTTCAGCCTTGTTATCAACTCTTTTGATTGTTTGGACCTCTATCTTTTGCTCAGGCATCAAAGCCAGCAAAAATTTGAAACAATCTTAATTGTTGATATGGCTAACATAACATGACTCAATGATATTGATAATCATTCGTTTTCCTGTACGCGCTGGATATAATGTTTATCCCACCTCTTTTCATTGCTTGGACGGTACAGCATTTCCTTCTGGTTTGAATGCCACGAGAAAGCAAGTCTGTGCACAGTAAGTGATGATGCTCCCCTTTCCCTCTCCCCTGGTTCATTTTTTGGCAAGCCCCATTGTTTAGGTTTTTAAATAAATAAATAAAACAAAATGGCCTCGAGTAATGTACATGTATAAATGCTACCAAAAACCAAAGAAACTGACACACTAAGTAATGGTGGTTTAACTTGTAAAACAAAACAGCCTTGTTATTTACAGACCAAAAATGGAAGAACCCTTGTATTTAGGGCACTTAAATAAATGCAATCAACTAACAAGAACATGGCGGTATAAAGTCAAGCTTAAGGATTCAAAAATATGTAATGCTAAACATCTAAACTCAAATGTATTAAAAAAATAATAATAAATAAATAATGCAATTAAAAACCAAAGAATTACAAATTTTATTATAATTTAAGAAGAAAAAAGACCACTACACAGAAGCTGTAACATATCCACCCCGTGAAACCCTGGACACAAAGTAACAGAAAAGGAGGCATCCCACCCAAGTAAAGAACTGAATATCATAAATGGATAGCCAAACATTATCTACTAATAACTCGGACTATAAACTGACACACTTCAGATAGCCATGACTTTTCTTCAAAGGACATGATAAAAAAAAAATATTAGCAAAGAGAACACCCTCTCGTTGTCTGAGCAGACTGTGCTTTATAATTTGGTCATGCCACAAGTACGATAATTACGATGAGAAGCACAACTCCAAAAATCACCAAGAGCAAGCAGGCCTGAATGATAAGGGAAAAGTTAGTACAATTGAATGGCATTAGACAATTTCTATGAACAGATGGAGCCAGAGAACCACAATTTACCAGAGATGAATTTGATCTTTGAGTCTTTGCAGCTTTTGCAAGTTGTGATTTCCCCTGTGCTGTTGCAGCCTGGGAATTCTCAATATGGGAGCCAATGTCATCTGAAATACACACATGTGATTACCACTCCAATATGCCAAGAGCAATAATAGTGAATACAACAAAAAAAAAAAATGTGATCACATACCAATCATAGCTCCCTGCTCATGGACCAGCACGGCAAGATCTTTAAAAATTTCATTCACCTCACCAATTTGCTGCTGGATTTCTTGAATTCCCTGCTCTCTTTCCTCAATGATAGCGTCATTGAATGCAATCTCATTGTCCAAAAGCAATACCTCCTGTCTGCAAGAGTAAAAACTCAGAATTTAAGGGATTCTGCAACTTAGGTGAAAGAGACAACTGAGCACAAGTATAAGCAGAACTCACCTTCTAGATTCCACAAGAAGAGCACGCTGTTCACCAGTTTTATCTGAACTGACATCTACCTCACTGGCTTCGTAGCTGCATACAGCACCAAGGAACCCCCCAATATAAGAAAAGAAAAGCATGCAAGGTAGCATAACTCAACAATTAAGAATAAACAAGTATCTGCACCAACACCATCCACAACATATGTTTGCAAAGGCTAAATGACAAAATCAGTAATAGTTATGGACTACTTGTAAATGAAATCATGTTCTAGATGAGTGAGTTTTCCACATCAAATAGTCAGGCACACAAAAGTTTGATATGAAAACACCAGATCAATATTCCCTCCAACAAAACATACCTAGAAGAAGCAACTGCCTGGGGAACAAAAGGAGTATAAGCTGTTTCCCTTTCAGCTGCCAGCCGTTGAGCCTTCTGAAACTCCTTCAGAACTGCTTGAAAATCTTTTGCAAGTTTAGCATCAGTGACTTTCTTGCTTGCCTGAAATCCAAAGTAATTAAAGGATTTCAAAGCATCAATAACTACAACAAACACCAAAAAAAAAAAAAAAAAAAAGGATTAATCATCTTAAAGCACTGGCACCTTCTGAAAGGAATCTGGCCACAGATTAAGTCTCAATGCTTTTAAAAGACCCTCATCCATTACTTGAAACTACTAAACATTTATACATAGTTTTCTAAATGACAATAGCAAAAGAAAAAAATGGTTTTCTATGGCTCATCATACAAATAATCATAATCCTAAAAAAAAAAAAAATTAGTTATGGATTTTTCAGCAGGTCACTTGAGGTAGGCAACACAATTTCAAAACTGGAATTATTGCATGGCAAAACTCAATTACACAAGCACAAATAATAAAGACTTTGATATAACCATAGAAAATGTTACAAATAATGAATAAATTCTTCTCTTCATTTTACTCGTGAATTTGAAATTGTTCTTGTGACAAAATGAAATGTTAGGATGTGGTGAAAACAAAGAAGACAAGGCTTGCTTATCTGAATTGCAAAATCAACTAACCCCTAATTCAAAACCACACTTACGCTAACATTGGCCTGATGATCAGTTTCACTAGCTTGTTTAAGTTTAGCGGAAGTATCCTTCACCAGCTGCCCAATATGTAGTCGTGTCTTGCGTCTGTCAAGAGAAAAGGAGCCAGTAAGACCGGAGATGAGAAGACAATCTGATATGCATAGTAGTGAAATCATAAAATGAAAAAAACCAAAAAAAAGAAGAAAAAAGAAAAAAGGGAGCCTACAACATGCAAAACACATCGCTGGCACTATTATTCCCTTTAAACCAAAAAAGAAAAAGGTTGAGACATAAAAACCAATCAGAGAATTATTATTGAAACTTGTGGCCCTATCCAATAATCATACAAAAAACTAATATAATTCTACTCAGGATCTTTCCATCTTAACAATAGAAAGAATGAAACCAAATGATCATTCATGAACAGTAGGCAACTTTAATTCGGTCCCCTAAAACCGTTAATCCATCTAAACCCTAAAAACTTATTAGAAACAACTGTGTTGTTCAACATTCCAATCGCAAGATATCAAATTGACCTAATTAGCTCACTGTATATCCCAGATTAGATCATACAATCCCAATCTCATAACGAAAAGAAGTAAGTAAGCACGTGATGGAACACCCTCTTCCAATTTATCATCGATCATAAGAGAAGTGATCTCCATATCTCCATTAATTGCAGGTTAAATAGCAAAGGAATCAAGACATTAGCTTCAATCGAAACAATAAGAACGAAAATTCCGCGAATTCCAATGCAATTAGGACAATCCTAACACAATCCATCACAGTCGAATCCGAAATTCGCACTTACAACTTCTCGCGGAGTTCGGGGGTATCCTTGGGTGTCCCGAGGGTATTGACGAGGCGCTGGAAGGTGGAGACGGAGGTGTTGATCTGGAAAATACCGGAGGCAACAGCTTGAGTGGCATCCTGCTTTCCGTTGATCTGGTTTTGCCTCGACGCCTGCGGCCTTCCCGCTTCCAGATCTTGAAAGCTCATGATTGATAATCTAGAATTGTGGTGAGCGAGTGGGATTCCGAAGGAGAAATCAAAAGGCAGATGCGTTTGGGCACAGGGATAAGTGAAAAATCCGACAGGAATCAGGTGAGGATTAGGGGGCGGAAACGGGAGCTTAAGAACATGGCGACGAGTGAGGAAGGAGAGGGTGCTAGAGACGTCCCAAGAGAAAATGGACGTGTTAATGATGTGCCCCCCCAACCCCTTAGTTAGTTGTTTGCGTATTTCGGTTTTTTTTTTTTTTTCATTTTTTATAGGATTCTGCCCTTTAGGTATACATTTAAAAATATTTTTTTAATATGAATTGTTATTAAAAATTAAATTTTAATATTTATTTAAATAATTATTTAATTAAAATAATATATATAACATGCACTAAAACCTTTCGAGTCAAGTGATAATAATCACTTCATGATGCATTCCCCCTCTCTTGAGCTGAGTTCAGTGTTTGTTCGTTTTATTTTTTAAAAATTAAGAGAAAAAAAGATAAATATTATTTAATACATATTTTAAAAATAAAATAATTTAATTTTTTTAATAAAAAATTATTGAAATAATATAATTTTAAAATAATTTTTTTCTTATCACTTACAAAATAAAACTCATAGTAACTATTTCTTAATAATAATATTAATATGTGTTATAAAAGTACGGATACTTTTTTTTGTTATATTCCTGTTTTATTATCTGGCGAGGGGAGGTGAAGTGGACTCCAGCGAGGACACGTGGATGGCGGGAAAGGTAGTGGCGGAATCTGGATGATTAATTATTTTGTCGTCTTTATCATTAAGTTTTATTCCTTTTTTTATTTTTCTTTGAGTCGACATTCCAATTCGGACAGGAACAGTGGAAGCAGAAAAAATTAAGTTCAATATCCATTCATAAGTAAATGATATTTTGCAAGCTCAAAATTTAAATTTTGAGGGCACCTCAATTCATTGTTAAAAGGAAGAAATTAGTGTCGCAACGCAAGGTTAATGTATTCTTCAAAAAAAAAAAATTGTTTTTAATAAGAAAATACCTGCTAAGTACTCAACAACTAGTAACATCCTATGAACAAAGAAAAAAACAAGAAAGCCAATTAGAAAGGAATTGTGAATTTTGTTATCCAAAAAGGTATTTCATAATATAAACTATAAAATAAGATACATTTTTGTTATAGTATTTAGTTAAAAAAGTCTCTTTGTTATAAGAGAAGTGTTTTATAAATTATTTTTTTTAAATATATGTTTAAAAACCTTTTTTTTATTTATATTTTTAAAAATCAAAAATAAAATTAAAATTTTTATTTATATAAATCATACATATAAATATTTTTAATCATAAAAAATTTAATATTATTAAATATATATTAATAAATAGAGTTGTATT